TGGGTGAAGGTGAAGGCTGCTGGGTGTTTCAGTGTAGGCCTGTTCGTTGTAGGGGCTGCTGGCCGGTGTGTCTCACTCAGAGCCAGCCTAGGCCTCACAGGGCCGCTTCCTCAGAATAAAGTGTCCATGCCTGAGCCAGTATGACTGCAGCGTGTTGTGTTGTCACGTTAACTTACCGGTTCAGGCGAGCGTTGATCTGTTAATCCAAAACTCGCTCTGTACCACGGTGTAGATGTGTTAAAACCACATGGGGATAAGGGTGGGTGAGGTTAAATGCTTGGCTGCCTCCGATTCACTGGTAAAATGTAATTCGTGGAAAAAAGGAAATATTTGGTGTAAAAGCATAAATGAAATTTGTAGCATATGAGCCAAAATGTAATATCTTTTATCATGTAAAGAAACCAAAAACATTTAGGAGGGTTATCAAGCCTTTGAAACCTCTCTAAAATGATTTTTTCTGCCTACTGTTGCAGTAGCCTAGACTGAAGCTTGTTTACCAGCTGTAGTGAGCTTTCTAAGCCAAACACCATGGTTTAAGGGCTTTTTTTTATTTCTGCTGTGGATTGTAGTATTGATAAACAGCCCATAAAATCATGAAAGTTGTAGCTGGCAGTGCTTTTATCCAAATATTCCGCTTCAAGTCTGTACAAGTTAACTGGAGTAGTGTTAGACAGATGGCTGTGAAAGGCGGTGGCACATATGGAATACAAATATAATCACTTTAAACGGTGTTTTGTAAGTTAATGTTGGCTCCAAGCAGGTTTGTTTATAAACTTTAAGGAAAAGGAACTTAGAACATAGGATTTTTTTGTCTTCGGGGCGAAAAAGAACCCCACAGAATTCAAGTGTTTGTTTAGAATATTGGCATTTACTAATACTTGCTTGAATTTGTAAATAGATTGCAGGGGCTGAGCAGCGTCAGTGGCCTTTCCTGAACTCTCAAGAGGTGCAGTTTCTGTGCAGCTGCTGGGTACTTTACTAACTCTTGAAATGGTATTAGAGGATTGTGACACTTCCTCCCTGTCCTGCAGCAGAGATTATTCAGCAGCATTTAGTAAACTGCAGGTGAAGTTCAGAGATGGAGGTTGAGTGTTGCTCCGTAGACCTACCTTTGGCCCGCAGGAGTGGTTTTCCTTTCACACCAACAGCTGCTGGAGTTTTCCTGTCTCGGATTCCTGAGTGCTTCTCTGCTCCGGTCAGATGAGACCGCAGCGCTCTGCTACGCGCAGAGTTGTCTTCAGTGTTGCCATGGTTACAACGTGGAGTCCCTCACATACACACAGACAAGTTCTTTTAAAGTGCAGTTATGAGTAAAAGTGTAGCTTACTATTCCTTAATTTCCACATTGGGCTCTTTTATCATTTATAATCAATGCTTAAATGTTCTCTTTTTTTAAACAAAAAATAATGACAAGCAAAATCCCTTTCTGAAAAAGTCCTATTTGTCTAAATTGCTAATTTTTGCAACAGTGGTGGGTGTCAGGAAGAGGGAATGATTTGACAGGGAGTTTGGCTCTGGATTTCCTGAACCTGCTTTTGCCTGTTGTGTTGATATTTCAGCAGTATACCAAAGGATTTCCTTCTGATGCAGTGTATTTTGGTAAAGTGGAAGGGTCACTGGGTAAATTCTTATTCCAGAACCCAGGAAGCATCACGTATAATGTTAAACTCGGTCTGAACACAATATTTTGTGAAGTTCTACTGTTTGTTCCTGTGGAAGAAAGACCATGCGTTTCTGAAATGCCTCCCTTCCTGAAGGAAACGCTGGGTGCATTTCAGCTTTATTTCTCTTCGGGATGTGCTGAACAAGTCCTGTGTACTGTGCCACCAACTGCGAGAACCTGGAGGGTTTGCTCAAGGGGACTTTTTTTGGTAGTGCTCCAGGTCATAATGTAGTTATCCAAGTCTCCTGCTTCCTTGTTTCCAAATGAAACCATGATGTGTTATGTTGCTGGCAAAATAATTCATTCTTTCTCATGACCATGGCTCTTAATGTTATTTTTCTTTGCCTAGACCATGACAAAATGTTTAAGATGAGTGAAAAGATCTTACTCCTGTGTGTTGGGGAGGCTGGAGACACCGTGCAGTTTGCAGAATACATTCAGAAAAATGTTCAGCTCTACAAAATGAGGAATGGTGAGTCAAGGAGAACGGTTGCTCACGGAGGGTTTGGAAGCTGAGTTAGTGATGGCTGTAGTTCACAGCTGAGTGTTGGGAAGTGCTGTCCTAAAAACTTCTCCAGCTTTAAGGATTTCTGTATTTTTACTGTCAAGCAAAGGTGGTAATGAAGTCAGGGTGAAGAAGTGAAGATTGGATTATATGGGATAAACCACAAGGTTTATCCAAAGCCCAGCTAACCTGTTTGTGATATAAATGACACAATAAGAAGCCTGTTAGGAAAAACATTACTTGTAATATGCCTGTTGCGTGACAACTGTTACCAGTTTTACTGATCCTGGCCTGAAAAATTCAGGTTACAGGAAGTGAAACACGCACGTGGATTCGTACTGTTAGCAAACACACACGTGTTTTTCTCCAGGTTACGAATTGTCTCCTACTGCAGCCGCCAACTTCACGCGACGAAACCTAGCTGACTATCTCCGGAGTCGGGTGAGTAATAGCTGAAAGATTTGGAGAGACTTCCAGGGGAAACATCCTGTTTTCAAGGAACGGAGCCTATGAAAACCGTGGCAGCTTCTGTCTGTAGTGATGAATTCACTTTGCTGAAAGGATGTTTTATTAAAATATAACTTGACTTGCTTACTTAAAACTTACCACTTATCAATAACTGATACAACTACAGTCTTAAGATTCCAGCCTTGGGCCCAATAACCGTCTTGCCACCAACGCTGCAGACAGCTGTGCGACTTAAGCCTCTTTAACATCGAGATAAGGTTGTCGGTTCTCATGCAAATGCACCGCATCCATTTAATCTTCTTGGAAAATGATTTAATGGAGCAAAGCTGTTTGATGTACTTAGCAACACAAGTCCCTTTTGTAAACAGCAACGCGGGACTTTCGGTAAATATTAAATCCAAGTTGGATTTTCAAGTTTCTAAACTGCATCCCTGTTAGAATGAAGTTGAATGACTCGACAGGGATAAGGCATGGGATAAGTGATGTTGCTGTTCTAACAGTGTACTGCGCGGGCCTGAAGTGATGTTTACAGAAGCAAATAAAGGCCAGTATTAACATCAGAGCTGAATTGTTGAGAATTAACCTGTGTGGAGTGAGGCGCAGACCCTGCTGCGAGAACCCATCCGCAGGAACAGCCTGAGGTCGCTGCTCTCAGTTCTGACACGGATGACAGCTGGAGGTTGCGAGTTTTCAAGTTACCTGCTTGCTTTAGCTCTTTTTCAGGTGTGATTTGGGAGGTCTGTGTGTGTGTTTTGGGGAACTCTGTGTGATTTTTGAGGGTGATGGGAAGGAGTAAATGCTGCTTGGTGCCTGGCCCAGGTGGCTGTTGTCCTGCTGGTGCTGGCGGCTTGTCTCAAGGGCATCTGACCTACACAGATGGTGCAGGTGAGGCTGACGCTGCGTGTCCTGCCCACTTAAGCAGAAACAACCATTACGTGCCATTAACATAACCCTAACAGGAGTAATTTAACAGGCTTTTTGGTAAACTTGGCCAGCAGGATGTGGCATTGATGCAGCACCGTTGTCTTCCCCTGTGCCATGTCCCTCGAGGCCTGATCCTCCCTGTGTCTCCCCTCCTTCCTGAGCCCACGCCTGTCTTCCAGCTCACCTGCTCCAGATGGGCAGCACAGTGGGGAGGACACTGGCAAAGGCAGATGTGTTTATTTACCGGAGAGAGAATGTTGTGCTGCTGCAGATGGCGATGCCCTGGAGCAAGCGGCGCACTCTGACACTACCGTCACACTGCAGTGATCTCTACACTGTAGGGAGAACTCTTTTTCCTTAAGCACAGCACTTAATGATTTGTTGTGGGATTTAGAGTTGGATGATACAAACCTTGCCATCAGGTATTTTTTTTCCTCATGATTTTTTGTTATGTTTTCATCACAATTTGTGGGATACTAGGAGGGTTAACGCTAGCTCTCTGTATCTTTTCACATTGCATGTAGGATTCTTGGAGGGTACTAATTTACTTAATGTGGATGATAAAAATAAAAGGTAAAACATGCCACCACGTCCTGTCAGGAGCAGGAAAATACTTCGGAAGTAAAAAGCTTGGTGTGGGAAAAGGGAGCTGTCGCTGTATTGCCCTTCGCTGTGTGAAGCTGTTTCTTTATGGAGGGCTAGAAGGTGTGTGAGGGGCGAGGCTAACACTGAGACAGTACTTCTTCAGGCATTAAACTGCTGTGGTGGCCCAGCCCAAAATAGAGCTTGTTCTGCCTTGTTAATCACCATCTGGGCTCCTCCCTGTGTTACCTGGCTTGATTTCATTGATAAACCCTCACCCAGGCCAGGTTCCTGGTATCCTGCGGGTGGCTGTCACGTGAGGCAGTGCCTTGAGGTGGTTCTTTCAGTGGAAGGTACCACGTGTAACAACATGGGTTTGTAACTTCAGGCCATTACACTGCTCTGCTCTTTTACTGATCAGTCAATGTGTGTGCTTTCATGGCGTTTCTCTTTTTAAAGCACGGGGTTTATACTCCAGAGTAGGATCTGAAAAGGATCTTTGTGGCTTTCCATGTATGTGTGTTGCCATTAAGGCAAACAGCTTTGACAGGGACAGCCTTGGAGGCAGCTGGCTTTGACATAGGTGAATGCTGTAGTTCCTCTCCTGCTGTTACCTGCTCCAGCATCTCACTTGATTCACCTGCTGAATGAAGTACTGGGTTTAGTACATTTAGCGTACTCCTGAGGCTTCTGTTTTGTGAGGAACAGAAAAAACACCCCTCCGCCCCTCCAAACCCGATGAAGTTCAGTTTCTCGGTGTGATGCTATGTTTAATTATAGGTGACAGGGTCTGGCCTGAGTCCAAAGGAAGACTGTCAGTTCCTCTCTCCTTGTCCACGCTTGGCAGGATGCTTCCTCACGCCCACCTTTTCCCCCCTTGCTGTGACTTTGGCTTCCGCCAGCTGTCACCGCCTAGCCTCCTGCTGCTGATCCTGGTGTTTTAGTGTATTTATCACAACTGTTCTCTTCAGCTGTAAATTCTGAAGGATTTCACACGTCTCTTAATTGCTGTAGTTATTTTAAATCAAACAGCATAACGTGCAAAGCTACTTGGGATGAGAAATACTGCCTCTCATAGGAAGGTAGGTTTGGAAAAAAGGTATTTTAATGTATCCTGGGCTGTCAGTCATCCGCTCGTTTGGTGGCCCTTTAACCACGCCGGCCTTCTAAAGGGTTTAGAGCTGTTGGCATGGGTTTAGTTACAAAAGCCAAGGCTGTCTTTGGAACAGACAGAAGGATTGAGATGTCCAAGGAATACCAGTCCCCGCACAGAGATTTTGGTCCCACTAAGAGGTGCAGTCTGCAAATTTCATTTGTAATCGTGGAAGTAATAAATAGGTGATGTATGTTTTCTACTGTTTAAATCCTACTTGGTATTGTAGGAAGGCACGGAGGACACTTTATTTACATCTGAGTTTTAAGAAGTTGTCTCATAGGCCATTAGCGGGAGAACTTACAACTGAAAAGCAGCTTACAGATTTGCTGAAGTCTGTGTAACACCATTTATTTATGGTTGAGTGTCTCGCATATGCCAGTGTTGGTAATTCAAAGTCACACAATAATTTGAGTGATCTTGTGTCATGGCTCTTAAATACCAACTTGTGTGATGTTTCAGAATAAATAAATGATGAAATACAGACTAATTAGCCGACTACAGCTGCATGGTAACTTGGTTCCAAATATTCTTGAATGCTTTGAAGATTAAATCACACAATTTACAGTGGTGTTTGATATATAACTGTAGCCTGCTTTATTCTTTCTTACTCTCTAGTGAAAGTCAAAATACAGTGTCCTGTAATACTTTTTTGAGTGCAAATTCACTCTGCTTATTATCAAAATGAACTTTTTCCTGTTATAAAGTGAGTGTTTTGGCTTTAGGGTGAAACTGTGTTTGCTTGTTCTAATCTGTTGTTAGCTGCATCATCATGGTTTTTTCCTCATTTTGTTGCTTTGTTAATCTAGACTTTCCAGCATTTGAAGAGAGATCCTGTTAGTATGATTAATAAGAAGTATTATATAAATATGAAAATACTGGAAACATATAAAAGATGTTTATAAAAAAAAACCCGACAAAACATGACATTCCAAAATTTTCTTCTGAGCCTACATTTGAAACCAATACAGTGCATGCATGTGTGATAGTCTTAGAAAGTGCACATCCTGGAACACACTAAGCCTAAAACACGAAGGAAAGGGCTTGCAGGTACAGCACAGTGAAAAGGCATGGTTATGTCAATGCAGTTGCACGGTTTTCTGGGATATGATGTAGGTGCTTCTCAATCTTATTTGCTAGGCCCTTGCTGAAGTCCTGACCAAGAACTGGAGAAGACAGCAGCTAAAGGCTGCTTACAGGCTGGGAGATTTGGGGGGTCCAGCCTGGAAAAGGGAAGGCTCTGGGGAGACCTTCGAGCCCCTTCCAGTGCCTGGGGCGGCTACAGGAAAGCTGGGGGGAACTTTCCCCAAGGGCAGGGAGTGACAGGACAAGGGATAACGGGTTTAAATGGAAAGAGGGAGATGGAGATGGGACATCAGGAAGGAATTCTTCCCGCAGAGGGTGGGAGACACGGGGACAGGCTGCCCAGAGAAGCTGTGGATGCCCCATCCCTGGGAGTGTCCAAGGCCAGGCTGGATGAGGCTTGGAGCAACCTGGGCTAGGGGAAGGTGTCCCTGCCCATGGCAGGAGGTGGGGCTGGGTGGGCTTTAAGGTCCCTTCCCACCCAAACCAGTCTGTGATGATGATAAAGCAGACTAAATTTCTAGTTTAAGAAAACTGTTTCCAACCAAACAGAAAAGCTACTGCTAACATGATGTTGCAGCATCTTCATAGTCAGTTTTGACTAGAAATCAAGCAGTTCCTTAGATGATCTTCATTCACTTGGGCAAATTATGCTAACATTAGACAGAGCTTGATATGTGCAATAAAAATCCAACTGCCAATTAACGGGACAGCGTAACACTGTATAGCACTGTTGGCGCTGGATATGAGCTTTCCCATGTGCTAAAATGGGCTGTGGTTAGACAGAGTGTGACTGAGAAAAGAGCATGCTAAATTAACAAAGAAGTTCTTACAAACTGCAGAATGTTCACGTTGTGCTCACGTGTCGACAGTAAAACTCCACAAGTTTTATGTTGAGATGAAGGAATCTGGTGTGAAAACATAATTAAAGTTTTCTTAAGTTTGAACATGCTATGAAAGCTTTTTTTTTAAAAAAACCCAACCAAACAAAAAACCACCACAACCAACCCACATTCCTTTTCAGGAGAATCAGTGTTCTGTGTTTTTATTTGCTTCTGCATTCCATCAACCAACCCACACTCCTTTTCAGTAGAATCAGTGTTCTATGTTTTTATTTGCTTCTGCATTCCATGTTGCCAGGCGACCCGATCATTTTCAGACCAAGATCCACTTTCTCCTGCCGACAGTATTGATGTGCTTGTAGTAGCGTTTTGTGGCGGGGGATTGGGAAACCAACCGTGCTACCGTTCTGTGGGTGGCGTGGGGAATGAGGGTTCAAAGATTTGGGTGTGCCTGCCTTAATGAAAACATGGTTTCTGTCTGCAGACCCCTTACCACGTCAACCTTCTCCTGGCTGGCTACGATGACCACGAAGGTCCTGCCCTTTATTACATGGATTACCTTGCGGCTCTGGCTAAAGCTCCCTTTGCAGCACATGGATACGGTGCATTCCTTACCCTCAGCATCCTTGACCGCTATTACAAGCCAAGTGAGTGGAGTCTACGGAGAAGAAAATTCTCCTGTTACTGATTAATAAATTAAAGGCTTAAGTGGAGAGGTTGACATTTGCTGAGTCAGATGCTCTGGCTCAGTTGCTGTGGTTGCTACAGGTTTGAATTTGACTTTTTGTTAAGATAAACGTAGCGCTGAAGATCGCCTTCTGGTTTTGCTGAAATGGTAACGTGAAACTAGTCAGCTCCTTAAAGTGTTTTCCTCTTTGAAGCCTAACAGACTGTAAGTGAAGGAAGCTTCAGTTTATTCTACAACATGACTAGCCTTTCCTGGTTCATTAGCTGCTAGTAGTCTGGCTTTAATAAATAACATTTTGATAACTTTATCTTCTACTTGTTTGTCTGTTGGCTATGGCATGTACATTTTCCCAGAGAATCAATCTTCAGAGGGCAGTCCCAGATCATATTGCTCCAAATCTTTGATTGGTTTTGTGTGAAAAGAGATTCCTGGAAGCTTATCTCTGGTACTCTGAAGTGGGGGTGATGGGATTGGTTGGTTTGGATTATGCACGTGGTGGCTGTTGATCGTAATTCTTGTATATACCTGTACCTGCCTATGAAGTGTTATTTTTAGAATGATAATCCAGTTCTTGCGCTGCCAAGGAATAAACATGGCCCCATCCCCGCTTTGCAGCTGCAGAAGTGCTGTTAATCTGGCATCTTTGGCTTTAGCTACAGAACGACTTTACTCCCCTGTGTGAACTGGGTTCAGTCTCATAGCAGAGATGGTCGCTTAGTAATCCTTCCCTCCGTCTCCTGCAAGAAATGTGGCTATAAACTGACATTCTCCTGGGACTTGTGCCCCAGCAGTGGATGCAGGTCTGGAACAAACTCTAGAAACAAGTTTTGAGATCCACGGAGCTTTAGGTTTTTTTCTAGTCATGTCCCTTGGAAATGACACTGCTCCATTTTCACCATTCCCTGTGAAAACACTGAGCTACAGTCCGTTGTCGTGGCTTGCCGTCCCCATAGAGTGCTGGATTTTATCCTAACGGGTGAGAATAGCAGCGCCGTCGCACACGTGCCTTTCCCATTATTAAAACTAATACCCAGCAGGGAACGTAGCGCTAAACCCGATCTCCGCCCGCTGTCGGGCCTTGCAGCCGGCTGCGGACAGATGGAGCTGATTTAAAACTGTAATAAACTCGAGGAGAGAGAGACGGCTGGACTTCTCCGAAGCCCGGTCCCTGGCCATGGGAGGCGAAATTCCGTCATGCTTCCCATTCGGTGTAACAAATCGATTCTCAATGGCTTGTTGCAGCGTGAGCGCTTGGTGCAGGGCGTCCTCGGGACATCTGGAAAGTGTTTTCCGCGAGCTGGGAAGGAGAGGTTTTGGTGCTCAGCTGAGAAGTTGTTTAAATTTAATAAAGTTTCTGTCGAGAGGGATGGCCTCTAATGAAATCAATCTGTGGATGTTTTCTCTTCCAGGTATCACACGTGAGGAAGCTGTGGAGCTCCTAAAAAAATGTCTAGAGGAGGTGAGTTGCCAAACTTAGGCCCTTATGATCTTGAGAAGGGAATATTTGTTTGCATTCATTTGCTGATATTTTCCTGATCCTCTTGTCACATTTTTTTTTTTTTTTTTTGCTGTCTTTGCCAAAAGGGATAATAAATAGACCAGATACGGAATAGCTACTGAGGGAAAGGATTTGTGGGCACTTGCATTGTCTTAGCATGGTTCGTGTCCTCCAGAACGTAAACTCGAAGCTTAATTGCCTCTTCCATGCTTAGCGTAATACTGATGCAGGGAGTCTTTGACTTCGCCGGTTCACGTTTCTTCTGAACATAAGGCAGGCATCCTCCTGTCACCTGTCTCCCACTTAGCCACTGTATACTTGGAAATGAACTTGGGAAGTGATATCTAACGGAGGCAAAGATTTGACCTTCAAGTTCATGGTCAATTTTAACCTAAACATAACCTTTCCGACTCCAGGGCTTTTTTTTTTTTTGGTAGGAAAATACTCTTTATTCTTTCATCTAAGAGATTGAATGTAACTGGGAAGAAGCATCTGGGGAAACCTGAGGAAGCAGTACTCAAAGAAGTTCTGTTTGAAGTATCTTTTTGATAGGTACACTTTGTGCCCCGAGTTGTAGCCCACTCGTGTCTTCCTGCTTAAACATCTCCCTTGCCAAAGCCTTAAACCTGTTAACCTCTCTAGGCTGGGCTTGTCTAGCGTGGTTAGCCCTATAACAGACAAACTCATGCTACTGGGTTCTCCAGCAGTGGAAAAAAACACTCTAGTTCTTAATATTTCAGGTCATTAGAACCAGGATGGACATTTTGATAGGCAACAGCATAGCCCTTAAATGATGCTCTCTTTTATTTAGGCTTTGAATGAATCTCATCTCTTTTGTCTCTTTGTCTTTTGTTGAACAGCTCCAGAAACGCTTCATCCTAAATCTGACTTCTTTCAGTGCCCGCTTCATTGACAAAGATGGCATCCATGAAGTGGACACTATACCTCTTGCAAAAACGGTGTCCTAACCCCCGAGATCTTTCTTCAGCAGTCGTCTTTTTTTTGTTCACTTCTGGGTTTTTTTTCTATTCGTTTGAAGCACACAAAGTCATGTACTGCACTGGGAGATCCAATAAAGATTGACCTTTATATAGCCAGTTTTATCTTTCTTATTCCACTGATCCTTCCTGAGAGTGTTTAAGTAAATCATTCCACAGTGAAGGTGAAATTTGATTTATTGGTGATGGGTGCACATTCGGGTTACTTATCCTTTTCTGAGATTTTTACTCCCCCCCCATACGTTTTCTTACTCATGGGAAAACTGGTACTTTATCTTCTACATAAGTACGTGTCATCCACTGTCATACCTGAGCACTAAAGCTCAGCAAAGAGCAGGCAAGTATTCCATGCTAACCATGCAGCATCTGCTTTATTTTTCCAACGACGTTACTGCTGTTTGCTTTATTAAAAACTACTAATAATCAGGTTTTCAGTGACTGAATTTGCTTTTCTTAGACTTCGTTTCAGTCTAATCCAAGTGAAATGTGAAAGAACAGATGTCAAGTTGGGTGGATTTTAAAATGCTAGCGCCAGTTTCAATGCTAGCGCCAGTTCAGCCTGGAGAAGAGGAGGCTCCGAGGAGACCTCATTGCAGCTTTCCAGTCTCTGAAGGGGGCCTACAAGGGTCCTGGGAGAGGACTTTTTACAAGAGCCTGTAGTGATAGGCCAAGGGGTAATGGGTATAAATTGAAATCAGGGAGGTTTAGATTAGATATCAGGAAGAAATTCTTCACAGAGAGGGGGGGGAGGCACTGGAACAGGTTGCCCAGAGAAGCTGTGGATGCCCCATCCCTGGATGTCTTCAAGGCCAGGCTGGATGAGGCTTGGAGCAACCTGGGCTGGTGGAAGGTGTCCCTGCCCATGGCAGGGGGGTTGGAACTAGATGATCTTTAAGGTCCCTTCCAACCCAAACCATTCCATGATTCTATGAAACTGCAGCGCTTGTCATAGTTGTTTGGATTACTCTTAACTAGTTAGAGCTTTGTTTCTGTGAGAAGAATCTCTGCTCCGTCCAGGCTCTACAAGATGCTTCCCTATAAAACCTCCTGTCACAGCACAGCCTCACATAATCATCATGTGGCTGGTACTTGCAGTCTGCCCAGAACGGGTTCTTCTGAGAATAATGCTCGCTGACACTCTGCCCCTGCTTGAACTGGCACTGAAGGAGTTAACCTTTTGAACAGTTTGGGTGCTTGGTTTATGTTTCAATAAGCTTGGATGCAGAAGGATGGATGTCCCCAAGCTCGATGGATGTCCCCAAGCTCATATGAAGCACGCTCTTTGCGTGGCACAGCATCACGGTGCCCCGTTGGGAAAGGTAAGTGACGGCTCTAACTGTCCCTGTTGGTCAAAGCTGGTTTTGTCTTGCCTCTGGGTTTGAGGATTAGTCTCTTTTCCAGAAGGTTGCCGGTCTACCAGACCAAGTGTTCCTGTCTGAGCGGGTGGGAACCGGATTAGGACTGAGACTCAGTCACAGAAGGGGTTTGCAGCTCCAGTGTCTTGACTCATCCTGCCTCCGAAGGCTGCCCGTGAATGCAATTTTTAACTGAAGTCCCATCAGGCTTTCTAGTTTAAACCTTTCCAGAATGAGTTTAATTAACAGCTGGTTCTGTTGTGGCGATGGCTTTTTTTTTAAGCCTGTAGCATGTAGCTCTCTGAAACATTTCGCTGCAATTCATTTTTTTTAAAAAAAACCTTTTCAAACTTCTAAGGAAGAAAATCCCCAGCCTGGTTATTTTCTCTTGGCAGGTCACATCGGACCCGAGCAGAGTCAGAGGGTTCTAGTTCTGTGACCAAAATCACACCCCTTCGTGTTGCATTAATGTGTTTGTTCAGCTTAATACGCGGCATCTCTAATTTATTTTACCACTGATGTTGAATGTTTTTGCAGGTTTCTTGTCTCTCTTTCCAAAGTCGTCATTGCAGAGTGGCTGAGCTGATGTGACATTTTTGTCACTGCATATCCAAGTAGCGATGCCTCCTTATTGGAGCATTCATTATCTCCGGCACCGAAACGGGGGTGTGGTGCTATCGGGTCGTTTTGAGTCTGGCAGAGAAATCTGCCTGGAGTTTTTATCAGCACCCATTTGCATGCAGGTGATTAATAAACATAAAACAATTATTCCCTTGCAAACCCCCGCGTTGGATTCGGGTTGGAGTGGAACATATGTTTAGCCTGAGGGCAGGGCCCAGGATCTGAATCCCCCATGCAGGGAAAGATGCAGGGGGCTGCAGCAGAAGCCAACAGAGCAGCACCCTCTAGGAATGAATAAATACAGACCTTTATCGCGAAACAGGAGAACAAAAGAGTTGGCCCGCAGCACGATTGGACTCCAGCCTCTAATGAAGTGGATTCTTTTGAGGACTTCCCAAGAATTTGCAGTTTTTAATGCATTTTGCTGTGTCGCTTTGGATTGTTTTAAAGGTTTACAGTGCTGATCTTTACGTTCAGAAACACTCGACTTCCAATTTTAACAGTAAGACGTTGATTTTTCAAGCAGGTTCTGTGTTTTAAGGTTCCCGTTTACATTGCTTAAGGAGAAGAAAACCTCTTACCTGCTTCAAGTTGAGTCTGAACGCTTTTGGAAAATGTTTTTTGCCTAGAATCCAGATTCCTTTTGGAAATAATTTACCTTTCCATATGGGAGGTGTCTGTATTTATCATGACGGGCCTCTGTTTCATAAATCTCTGAAAGAACTGAGCACTGCAGGAAACTACTGCTTTCTACTAGCAAGTTTTTGGCTCTTCATGTTATAAAAGATTAACGTTGTAAACCAAAGTACCATATTTCTGGGGCATTGTAGCCACCGTGAGCTTTGCTTTGCCTGGTAATCCTGACCATATGTTTTACTACCAAAGCCTCAGGGCCTAAAGAGTTAACAAGGCGCTTTTTCTCTTTTTAGGTTTCCTGTTTAAAGACGGTCCCTTCCTGAGCACTGTGCGTGTAACGGATCATTGCACCAGCTCATCTCTTCAGGAGCTCGCTCCAAGGTCGGGTTACAAGGGATCGGAGCCTCTCTGCCTTAGGCCACCTTACGCCGGGAGCGCTTCGCTGAAGGATGTGAGTGTAGGTGCAATGCTTCTAGGTCTTTTTTTGGTGTTAATTATTCTTTTTCATGGAAGAAAATCAGCATTTTGTTGCATGTAACGGATCATTGCACCAGCTCATCTCTTCAGGAGCTCGCTCCAAGGTCGGTTTACAAGGGATCGGAGCCTCTCTGCCTTAGGCCACCTTACGCCGGGAGCGCTTCGCTGAAGGATGTGAGTGTAGGTGCAATGCTTCTAGGTCTTTTTTTGGTGTTAATTATTCTTTTTCATGGAAGAAAATCAGCATTTTGTTGGAGAACCTGGTGCATACATTGGCACAGAGGTGGTCATCGGTACTCAGAGTTGGCTGGCTAGCTGTTCTTAGCCCGAGTGTGTCATGTCATCAGGACAGTTCTGCAGTCCTAAAAGGGACTAAATGGTTAGAAATTGTCCTGAGCGATGAAGCTTCTCCCCGCGTGGGATGGCAAGTGGCAGCCGAGCACAGACACGCAATTAGAAATGGAAATGGCTGAAAGGTAAAAGCCACCTCCCCCCGTTGCTGTATTCAGCTTTATGTGGAACTGCCGGAGGGGGGAGGGTGCCCCAAGTTCACCCACGTGTTTCCCCAAGACTCTTCCAGTCCAGGAAATCTGTGACTGCCTTCAGTTAAACAAGGCAGCAGATGCTCCTGCCATGGGCAGGTGGAATTCCTTGGGCAGGGGCTGCTTTTGCCGTGTAACCCCGAGGGCCCTCATCCAGTGCGCTTGTGGAAATCAGTGAGCCGGAGACCACACAGCAATAGGATAATCAAAGGTACGGAAATTGAGCGTTATGGAGCAATCCTATACGGTATTCTCAGCAGCCCGTGAGTTTGGCTTCTGTTCATGGTGAAGTGATGAAACAGTCAGTGGCAGAAACTCTGCAACAAATGGAGCTGTCACGTCTGGGAGGGAAGATGTAGGAGCAGAGGGGAGAGTCAGGCTAAACTCTCCCAAGGATGTGTGTTCATTTGCTCCCATCTCTAGCTTTGACACTGGGTTCCTACAAGAAGTGTTAGCCAATGCCAGGGCTGACACTAGGGATTATGTTCATGGTGGTAAAGATTTGGCTGATTCCGTTTTCCAGTCGGAAGCATAATATTCCTGTTGTATAAAATAGCTCAGTGTCTAAGGAAGGAAAAGCCTCTAACTTTACTGTCTGTGAAGCACAGTACATATTGTAAGGAAAAAGAAATTTATCCTGCGCATAAAAAGTTTATCCTTCGAGCCATTTTTAATTCTTTAAAGCTTTACTCTTACACAGAGTTTCCATGTGTTGTTATCAGTCTGCCATCGACAGTAATTGAGTGCAGGAAATTTTCATGTGAGCATGGCTCAAACTACACAGACAGAAGTTGTTCTGGTGGATTTTTTTTAAAGCAAAATGGAAATGGTGGAATGAAAGCATGCACCTTCTGTTTTCCACGTTCTGGACTACGTTGGTTTGAACCTCTGCGTGGTCCTGACTTGCTGAGGACTATGTTAAAAAATAAGTTAGTTGTCTTGAAAATGTGAAGTGATGGTTTAAGTGTTATGTTTCTGTGCTAATGTGCAATTAGGTCGTTATCCAATAAGCTTATTCATGTAGTCTAACTCAAGACAGCTGTGGAAGGAATAGAGAAAACCCTTTACTGCTGAGGAATGGTGAGAGGGGAAGGGATGTTGGAAAGGATCTGTTTCAGAACTGCCAGCGTGTTCTTTTTACCTGTGTAGTATCGGAAAGCATTAAAGGTTAGAAAGATCTGGGAAAAATTAAATCCTGCCGATCAAATCTATAGAGAGGGGAAACTAAAAGGTGGATAGATCAATACCAGCAAATACAGGAGTTTGGATCTATAACTTAACTCGAAAGCAACTGCATAAGGTGGGGCCAACCTAATAATCGTCGGAAATGATGACTTTGCCAAGTGTATTTTGATTTGGGTAAAGTGCCTCTCACTTAGTAGAGGCTTCCTTGATGTCATCAAATATTTCTAGTGTTTATGCACAAACATGAGAATAGTGCATCTCCTTTAGCTGATTTACAGAAAGC